TCCAGCAACCCTCAGTTTGGTCTCCATATTTATGAGTCTCTTCTGTTTTGTCCCCCTCCCTGTTTTCATATTCTTTTTGTTTCCCTTCCCTTATGTTCATCTGTTTTGTCTCTTAAAGTCCTCATATGAGTGAAGTCATATGATTTTTGTCTTTCTCTGACTAATTTCACTTAGCATAATACCCTCCAGTTCCATCCACATAGTTGCAAATGGCAAATTTCATTCTTTTTGATTGCTGAGTAATACTCCATTGTATATATATACCACATCTTCTTTATCCATTCATCCATCAATGGACATTTGGGCTCTTTCCATACTTTGGCTGTTGTTGATAGTGCTGCTATAAACATGGGGGTGCGTGTGTCCCTTCGAAACAGCACACCTGTATCCCGTGGATAAATGCCTAGTAGTGCAATGGCTGGGTCGTAGGGTAGTTCTTTTTTTAGTTTTGTGAGGAACCTCCATACTGTGTTCCAGAGTGGCTGCACCAGCTTGCATTTCTACCCCTTCATCTTTTTAAAGCATGTTCCCTATGCTGTTGATATAAATTTCTCTCTCTCTCTCTTTTTTTGGTTTTAGATACCTTTGAAATAGCATCTGTAAACTTACCCATTCCTGTGCAAACCAGGAACTATTATAAGAATGTGTCTGATAACAAAGACATTGTGAAATTAGTCTCTGTGCTTAGCACAATCATCAACTCCACCAAAAAGGTATGTCAAAAGGATTTGCCACCAGAACCCTTTGCTTTACAATATGTACTTGTGTGAATGTCACAAGTTTGTGTCCTACACGTAGCCTGGGTCTCACCCACGGTGCCTTTGGTGAGGAGCTGTGGAATCTTGGATGTGCTCAGCAAATGTTTGTTTACCTAAAACTTTTTCTTTCTAGGTTGCGAGGTGAAAAAGGACCATTATTCCTATGTTTTATGTTGTGTTCTGTTTAATGCTTTAAGTCTATGTATTTACTGATTTAGTACAAATAAACCTGTTAAAAAATTTTAAGGGGTGCCGGGTGGCTCAGTCAGTTAAGTGTCTGATTCTTGGTTTCAGCTCAGGTCATGATCTCACAGTTCGTGGCTTCGAGCCCCACATCGGGCTCTGCAGCCAACAGCGTGGAGACTGCTTGGCGTTCTCTTTCTCTCCCTCTCTCTCTGGCCCTCCCGCACTTTTACTGTCTCTCTCAAAGTAAGTACATAAACTTAAAAAATTCAAACCACAAGTGAGTACTAGTCAGTACTGACTAGTATCATCTGAAGCAGAATAAGGCTTATACTTAATTTTCCCTATTTGTGTAGTCAGGTAAATCTCATAAACTATCAGATGAAAACGTATGTGTATTACCACACGGAGACGAGGTCATAGGGAAAATAAAGCAAATAGGTGTTATCAATTCAAACTTGTACTCGAAAGGGGTGTACATTAGGATTAAGTTTTCTTCCAACCTGTTCCTCTCTCAGCTCCCCGCTTTCTGTTCAGGCAAGCCTGTTTTTGTCAAAAGGATTCAGAACCCTGAAGTCAGCTTCTACTTACGCACAATTTATATTCACACTGCCGCCAATACCTGTTGACTCTTTAAAAATGTCTCTCCGTGTTGAGGGAATAGTTGTCACTCAGCAAATACATCTTTTCTATTACTCGGTTCTGATAGAATGAGCTTCATTTGTTTGAAAACATTTTGAGAGCTGCCATTGCTGTAACCATGTGAAGAAATATTATTAAGTTTAATTTTAATGTGTTCCTGAGGGAACTGGAAGCTTTTGCATTTATGCATTTTCAATATTCCTTTCTTAAGATATTGAAGGTCCTGTATTTAATTTTGCCTTAGGGACAGTGTTCACATAATTCAATTTAACAAATATTTATCTAGTGCTTAGTTTATCAAGCTCTGTATGCATGATAAAGGTAAGTATTTTATGGTGATGATAAACATCCAGATATATTTCCACATGTTGCAGTAATCATGGAACATACAATGAAATAAATCAATAATGAAGCTCATTACTTTCTCTGAATATAAGCAGCCACTATTATGAAAATCTAAGGGTAAGCATAGTCGTTGAAATTAGCATACTGCTGGCAACAAAATGCTTATCTCCGTGTTATTTCTGTCGCATTTGCTTTTATATTACACGAAGGAAGTGTGCAAATCTTAGGCACTTAGAATAACTTGGACTTTTTCCAGACTGACGAGATGGACATAGTGTTTCTGGAAGAATAAATACACACTTCGTCATCATACTAGACATGATCAGCTCTCTATAGCCAAAGACCCTTCTGGGTGATTCTGGCTCAACTATGGAAAATCCTATGATCCCAGCCCCTTTCTTCTTGCCATCGCTGGCTGGATCAGATTGTAAACCTGACCTACATTCAGCAGATTCGTAGGCTAGCCACCAACTTCCAACATTGCCTGGCTTGGAAAGATGAGCTGGACCAAACAATTTAAATAACCTTGGCAATAAAAATAGCTTCAGCTCTACATCCACAGTTCGTGCAATTTTTCCTTTAAGCCCTAGGTTACCTCCACTTTAAAAACTTCCAACTTAATAAAGAGTGACACCATCAGAAAAGATAAATGAGAGTCTCAACGTATTTAGTTAGGGTATGTTCTTAATATTATAAAGTCTAGGATGTTTAAACAGCTCAGGATTCTGGAATTTCTACTCATATTTTGGCATCTTTGGTAATCTGTAATTCATTCTCCACGTCATCCTACACTTGTGAATGTCTACATACTGTTGCAATTCATTCTGGGTGTGCATGTCAACATCTCAGTCCATGCAAGGGGGTCACTTTGGCTGGGATAAGTCGTGGCGGGCTTAGCTTTCCAATTTTAATTGAAGTCTGGGACGTCTCAACGGCTATTAGACCCGAGGCATGTGGGACACTTTCACTGCATTTGGGGATTGGAGTGAAGCCATTTGGTTTAGTGCAGGTTGGTAAGCTTTACTTAAGTGACTGGGCCATTTAGAATGCTGTTGGTATGCTATATTTTTTCAAATAATGGCATTTAAAATTCTATCCCAGTTAAAACATTTTTTCTCACGCAGATGTATCTCTGAAATTATAATATAAGCCAATAGAAAAAGTTGATTCCCAAGAGGTAGACGCATAAGAAATGAGGAGCCAAATCTTTAATTGTTTATAGGTGATATGATTATCTATTATATAATCCAAGAGGCTGATCTAAAAAAAAATATGGCCCAATGAGAGTCAGGTTAGAGTTTGTTGAAAGGTAATTATAGGCATTTCTGCTGTCATACAATAAACATTCCTGAAAACACTGTTTTGCAAAGTTGCACATCAAATATAACACGGATTATGAGAAAAACAGAATTGAGGCAGACACACAAAACCTAGGAAAGTTTGTAACCGAGTAGTTACAAAAACAGGGGCAATCATAGTAAAATTTTAACCCATTTAAAAATGGTATCGTAGGGGCGCCTGGGTGGCGCAGTCGGTTAAGCGTCCGACTTCAGCCAGGTCACGATCTCGCGGTCCATGAGTTCGAGCCCCGCGTCGGGCTCTGGGCTGGTGGCTCGGAGCCTGGAGCGTGTTTCCGATTCTGTGTCTCCCTCTCTCTCTGCCCCTCCCCCGTTCATGCTCTGTCTCTCTCTGTCCCAAAAATAAATAAAAACGTTGAAAAAAAAATTAAAAAAAAAAATGGTATCGTAAATAAAGAGCTTTACTATTAAAAGGTGACAGAACTTGGTAAAAGGTGGGTGTGAGAAACAGTTGAAACAAGGATTAGATGTCCAAAGATCAGGCTGAACTGTGCAGAGAACAGCCTCAAAACAAAGCAGGACCAAACTGGCCCCAAAGGAAAAAGTGCTGGAAGGGGCGTGCACACACGATTGCGCCCCTCCGCGGCCGGCTGCTTTAGCTGGTACAGAACAGCATGCTGGGAAAAGTAGCATTTGATAATGTCACCTCCCCATTATGTTGATATCATTCTCTAGTTACCAAACATGAATGAGCCAGTTCATCTTACAGAAGCACACTTTGTAGCAAACAGGACTGTTGATTAAAAAATCAATTTTTTAAACTTATATGCCATCCATAGCCAGTTGTAAAAATAGTGGAAAAGAGATCCTGTTTACAATAATCACATCGCTGAAAAATACCTAGGAATATGCGCAATAAAGAGTGTCTGGAGTCTCTATGAAGATTCCCATAACACTTAACATGTAATTAAAAAAAAAATTGGAAGATTTGGAAACACATACTGTGTTCCTGGATGGGAAGATTTAATATTGCACAGATGTCACTTCTAATCCAATGAGTTTATACATTTTACGTGGTTTCATGCAATCTGCCAGGTGGGGTTTGAAACAGGATGTATTCTGTTTGCCCCTCCAGATCTTATCTCCACCCTCTGACCTTATGGAACAAATTAATAGTTTTCCATTGAGGCTTCCAATAGATTTTACCAACGACAGAGTCGTGGCAGAGGTCTGGGGCTGGGGGCGGGGGTGTGGGGCAGGGGAAAGAGAGTGACCTTAGCATAATTTTTTCCATAGCACCCCTGTTGTGGCATGATTTTGAACTGTGGGTTTTTTAAAAATTTTTTAAATTTAGTTTTGAAAGAGAGAGAGAGAGAGCATGAGCAGGGGTAGGGCAGAGAGAGAAGGAGACACAGAATCTGAAGCAGGCTCCAGGCTCTGAGCTGTCAGCACAGAGCCCCACACAAGGCTCTCTAACTTACGAACCATGAGATCATGACCTGAGCCAAA